TGGATCATGGGGGGGGGCGTGAGCTAGTAGTAGTAGTAGTAGTAGTAGTAGTAGTTCAGCACAGTAGAAGAGGTAGGAGTAGTTGTTGCTGTAGCTGCAGTACTAGAAGTCGTGGTTGTCGTAGAGCGGTGGAACAAACTTAAAATACTGGCTCAAGGCCACCGCAAAACCAAAACCTCACGGACTAAAGTGTGCTGCTCAATTTTGCCGAGACATGACCCGGACAACCGCCAATCCAGCCTCGTCTGAACTTCGGAATGCTTGCCTGCCAGGTCACTTCATGACTCTTACTGTTACCCTTTTCGTGGCCTCTCAACCGACTCTTGCCTCATCACTTGCAGTTTCTGCTCTTGGGCTTCCCGCATCCGATCTTCGGCCTGGTCCGCTTCTGGAGGTCAACAGCTACAAAGTACAAAGATCTGCTGTGAAAAGGCAGAAGAGGCAACAAAAAATCGAAGTGGCGGACCCTGCAGTGGCATATCTTCGATTTCCCCACTCGACAACTGGTGCCTCGCGCTCCATGGCGGCCTTCACGGCCTCCTCAGCCATGGGTATAATGAAGCAACAAACCATCGAAAAGCCTTCAACGGCACGAACCGGCTCCAAACAGCTCCCAACTCTGAGATGCTTACACGATGGCTGTCATGGACAGCCTGTCGCCACTCGCTAAAACAGCGGGACCTTCGCGGCTTGCGAACATGATGTGATGCCCAAGGATGCTCAGCCGTCCATGCCTCATCATCTCGTCATCGAGCCTCGTGTCGTCTTGGTAAGCACTCTTGTGAAATCCACATTCTCGGGGCCAGCGCATGAGCTGGCCAAATGCAGAAGTCATCGCCTTCTCCTGCCAAGTAAAGCGACCGAGGAACACATGCCCAAGGACTCGGTTCAGGCTTCACAAGGTCTCGGCTGGCGGGGGAAGAGGGTGTCACACACTTCATAACTCTTGCTAAGCATGCTACTAGTATTGAAGCTGACTGATTAGAAGCCAACGTAACGGAGGCTGCGTCCTTCCGGGCTTTCTCCACCTTGCAGTGAAGCAAACTGCGAAGCCACGCCTCGGAAGGAAGAGCAAAGCAGGAGCACAACACCCCGTTGTAAGTTCGGGCTGGCGGACCAAGAAGTGGAATAGCAGCAGGGTCTCCCCTTCAGCATCCGCACGTCGCCTCTCACAAACGAAGGTGATTGAGGTCGTCTAGATCACAATGAGCAAATGGTCCTATATTATGACATTCGGGCGTTTGCTATCCACACGAGCTGCAGCATACCTTCGGCGAATGGTTTGAAACCCTTTCACTAGGCTTGTCTGCTACTTTGCGAGGCCCTGAAAGCTTTTGAGGCGCTCAAAACTCAAAGCAGCACAGAAGCCTTGGTGAAAGTTTTCGGCGGGGGCTGTGAGGTGAAAAGTCTGACACCGGCAACAAAGCTCCTGCGTAACAATCCGAAGCTGCATGGGGACGGGAGCGACATAGTCAGTAGGTATGGCATGAACTGACGTACCGCATTGAGTAGCTTTCCCTGGCCTCAACGCGTCCAGGGTCTTCAAGTGCGTCATTGCATGCGCATCAGCTACAGCCTGACAACAGCTGCACCTAGATCTGAAGCAGAACATCCACGTGACTCAGTCTCATGTCGCCACCGCATTGGGAACATGAGGAAGAACCTATGCGATTTCTAGAGCATGGCCGTTTGGGCCATGGCGAGAAGAATTAGCGGTGTTTGCTTCACAATGATACAACTGTAGACTGAAAGTATCCTCTCGAAACACTTTGCATTGTCAGACGAACATAGTATCCTTTCCTCTCACCTCATGTTAGCATATACGGGAATCTATACACACCCTGAGCTTGGTTCTGACTTGACGAATGGTTCGAAAGTGGTTCAGCTAAACGAGCGGTTTACCGTAACTGGGTCACAAACGCTCATACTCAACAAGGTAAGCCCTTTCGGCCGTTCCGACTTTGCAGCTGCATGCTGCCTGACCAAGTCTTGCTAGAATCGACCTGCCCGTCTGAGGGCCTCTTCCTGCGCACGTTGCCGGCACCATGCCTCCGGCACCGTCAATGTTGATAGACGCAGAACCAATCAGAAAAAAAGTCTTCAACGATGACAAGGGCGCATCATTCTTGTCAGGGGTGTTGCTTCCGTTCACAGAGAAGGCTCTTCTAGGCCGATCCGATTCACATATCCACACCTTTTTGAGATGGCTCCTCTCGCACTCTCGTGCGATTTCAGGGACCTCGTGAGTCGAATCCAACATCGGTTAGGCCCAAGGTGGCTCGCGATTCGTGAGGCAAGTGTTAGCGGGTTGCCCGGCTCAGTCTTGAGATTTGCAGTCAGGAAGGGACACACGCTCACTCTTCCAAATCGGGGTGGTGTGAGTCTGCAGTCTGCCCAGTGTTCCAGCCTCTTGGGCTCGACGCCATCCAGAAAAGCCTGCGGCGAGGCAGGGTCCCCGATGCTTCCTGCATCTCTCATCCTTCGCCCCATTGCTCGACGCGCACGGGACCCGAACCCAAATCCGAAGCCCCCAATCGATCCCCGAGACCAGCGATTGAGGCCCGTACAGCACGCGACCAGAGAATCCTGGGACCAGAGACGAAGAAACCATCAACAAACGCCGAAATATGCCGAAATTCTCACTCGGAATGCAGAAAATCTGGAATGGGGGACATTGTTGTAAACCCTGCAAGGGGAATCTCGTCGTCTAACCGGCCGTATCAATCGCACGGGAAGAAACTCCTCGGCACTGTTCTCCCGCGCGAGAGCCATCTGCATGGCTTGCTGCTTCTGTCGCTCACCTAAGTAGCCATCGACTGTTTCATAATGCAGCTGTGTACGCAGGATTGCGAGTTTCAGTGGAAAGGGCTGGATTTCATTCAGGAGGACCCTTACTAAAAGGATTCCCAAAAGTGAGTCCTAATGGCCCTAATTGCTCTGAAGACCCCAAATTGGATCCAGGCGGGACTTCCGCTGCAGGATCAGCCCCCACCAGGCCGACAAGAGCTGGCAGTGGAAAGGCCTGGACAGCTCCATTCAGGTTCGGGCACTCGCCCCGGGAAAGGCGATCAAACGGGAGCTTCAGGCCATCCAAAGCTTTGGCTACGTGAACCGGAGGAAACTTCAAGCTTGCGGATGCCATGAGCATGTTACGAGTTTCGCCCATTGTGCCTAGTAAGGGCCTTGCAAACTCGGCTCCCGGCCCCGGCTGCTCCTGGCAGCGCTCGAGCCTCGGCTGCGCATCACAAACCCACGAACCGTGCACAGGTAACACAGGTCGGTTTTTGGCCCCGGCCCCGGCTCCCCTGGCCATAGAGCAGCGACTTCTCTGACTCCAAAGAGTCCTTGCTAAGACCCTGGCGCCATCATAGCCTGCTGTAGGGCCTGGTCCAGCCAAGTGTTGTCTGGTACACATTACCTGGGAGTGATCGGAGGCCTGGTCCACGGCAGAGCTTTTGCTCGCTTGCGCCTGGCAGGGCAACCGCGAAAGAAGACGAGGCAGGCGCGGAGCTACACATTGGGTCTTGGCCTCAGAATTAGACTGTTGCGTGCTTCTGGAATGATCTGCATAGTCCGGCGAGTCTGGTTGAGTGAGAAATTGCACGCAGACCGACTTTGGCCGTGGCGGAATCGTCCCCGAGGCCTGTTCCAGAGTTTGCGCCGCCTTGCCTTCCTGGACTCAGGCGCTAAAGTGCGATCTGTATCTGCACTCGACGACCAGATCCGAATGACAGCGTCAGCTCCGCAATCCAATGCGAAACCTCGTCCACACGAAACCCACAAGAACAAACTTAGCTAAGCATATCGGACAGCCCTTCTCCAACTGTCAAAGCGGAAGACCTTCCTTTAAAGGGAGACATTGAATGTTGTAGCAGCGCTCCTCTACAAACTGACGCCAGCTTCCGAAGGACTGCAGCCTTGGCAGCTTGGCACTTCCCTCAGCAAAAGTGAAACTCCTCAACCGCGGCCACATGCTGATTGAATTCCCGTTCCTGCACCACACAGTCTAGCCGTGTTCTTCATGCGGAGAAGTTCTGCAGCTGAACCATCAGCACCACGCCGTGGGCTATGGTCAGTCGGAGTATGTGTGCAAATTCCTGCTGCTTCTACTACTGCTGCTGCTGCCG